AGCTGCTCCGCGTATAACTGCAGGAGCAGGTACAATAGGAGGAATCCGAACTTAACCTTCCACAGGTACCAGACGCTTTAGAATAAGACCGGCTTCCTATAATTAGGTATACGGCCCATATGTAATTATTAAGTCTTTTTTTAGCGGTGGCTACGCTGCATTTTCATGCATTAATTATTGGTAAATCACTCGGCGACTCACGCATCTGCACAGAATACCCCGTACCACCGTTGCATCCATTTACGCTGTTTTCACTGTTTCTCTGATCCATCTGTAAGCAGTCGAATTACTCTGTCTCTTGGAATGCAGTCCTTGAGTGCACGAAATCCACGCGTTTACATATTGCATTCATTTAGAGCAGGGGTCACCAACATGGTGCCCGCGGGCACCAGGATGCCCCCAAGGACCACATGAGTCGCCCGCGGACCTGTTCTAAAAACTCACCAGTGAGCAGCGTCTAATATTTAATTTTATCTTGTTGCTATTCTTCTTTAATCACATTTGCATTTATATAGATTTGAAAATGACAATATCTAAACATGTCTACTATACATGAAGTTTAGATAAGTTTAGGAGGGCGTTTCAAACTGGTAGCCCAACGTATGGCTCAGTACCCGTGAAGTAGCTCTCAATTTCAAAAAGGTTGGTGACCCCTGCTTTAGAGACATTAAACTCTATGGCCTCACAGATTTCCCCTAAGTAAGCCTTCTGTGCTGAAGGAGTGGCTGGACAACATAGGGCGAGGGGACTTTCAGCCCAAAAAGCACACGGTCATCTGCTCGCACCATTTCACCCCGGACTGCTTCAGCGGCTTGGGCAATCGCAGGAACCTCCTGTGGAATGCCGTGCCCACGCTGTTCTCCTTCCAGCCCCCCAGCCCCAAGGTCAGTGTCATCCTAATGACTAAAAATGTGTCTGGAACATGAGTAGTGGAGGAGGAAGGTAATGAAATGTTAACCCCCCCAGACAATGGAATCTCAGAAAACGCTGAGCACTGAGAAATCTCAGATCCCACTGAAGTTATTGGAATCGCAACAGGAAGACGTGAGCATGAGACATGAGCATTTTTTAACTGAGGAGGCCACAGGTGCTGAACCAAGACAGCTAAACTGTGTTCTACAGGTGTGTATCTAAGACACTGTAACTATTTTATTGTATCCTTATAAATAAAGCTATTAGCCTGCTTTTTCTGTACTCTAATATGGCCAAAGTATTATACATGTACATGGCTCACATATCCTGGCTTTGAATACATCCTCTGCTGCAGTTTATCTTGCTGTCACTGTCCCTGTTCCTCTGTGTGTTTGTGTCCCAGGATCTCAGGGCCACGGAGCACAGCTATGCTCTCGCCGGTCCCTGTGCAGCCAAGGTCCGTCTCTTCCGCTCCCTCCACACCATTGGCTGGCTGTGCAGAAGGTTAAAGGTCAAGTGTCGAGTGATCCAGAAGATGAGGCTGCAGCTGCGTGCCGCTCGCAGGGAGCTGGTGAGCTTGCGCGGCCAGAGCCACGCCTTGGCGAGACGGGAGCCCAGCCTGTCAGCAGCCACACGGTGCAGTGGACTGCGGTCCCGGCAAGAGGAGAAACACGGCAGCTCTGGCACAACTTGGAGGCAGCATTCTTCTCGAAGACTTTGTGTACGTTGATTTCAGTTTGCTTGATATGCTTATGAATTGCGTCCTGAGTTTGCCGAGTTTGATGCGTTCCTGGGTCAAAAAGGGAGGGGCTTGCGTTTCCCTTCTTTAACCAATCACAGTCTTCATCGTATGACATCACCGCATTAATTAAAACCAGTGTTTGCGGATTTGTGAAGTATCTGCTTTTTTGTGTTTGCCTTTTGTTAAGGGACCATGTCATAGATAAAAATAACATTGGAATATCCTTACCTGCAAAGGCTCTACAAGGCAATGTAAGGGTGTGTTTTTATTTCTTCGTGATGATAATAATAACAGCAACAATACTAACAACCAGCCTTGAACCAGCAGCCTGTCAATCACAAGCACTGAGGCTTAGCTTGCTGAGCCACATGTTGCTCCGAGGCTGATAGCAGGATGGCTTTATGCCTAGAGTTTGAAAATGAGAAAAAAATGGACCAATGCAGTGATGTCATACGATGAAAACTGTGATTGGTTAAACAAGTGAAATTGACATTGAACTCGGCAAATCAGGATGTCCTGCTTATGAAATGTAGGAGGACATAGAGCACAAACATTCAACATCATCACGAATAGGTGAAGTTAGCTGCAAGACTGACATTGGTTCAGCAAGTTAGTAGTGTGAAGTTGGTATGTAGGATTATCTCATCTTTTACCGTATTTACATTACACATTCACCCAGATTCTGAGTTTACTCGACATTTGTGTAATATTTTCCATTCCAGTGACCATCAACATTTCTGAATATGGAAAGAGATTTTTTACAAAGTTGAAACTGTAATCGGTGAAGAAAGATTCGGTAACAGTCTGTTTCAGTCACGCATTTCAGAGAGAGAAATCAGTTGAGAAACAAGAAACATCAGTCATATCTTATAATTTAAGTATATTTTAGAAAATGTGTATTTCATGATATTTCATATATCTTGTCTAAATGTCTGTATGTCAGCTTTTGTAATTTTAAAGAGGTCATGATGACTTTTACTGATTCATCTTTTAAATGACACAATTTGTGTTCATTGAAGTGTTATCTTTGTCAAATCCAGCACTTAAGTCATGCAAGAAAACTGGAACATAATTATTTGCTTAGTTAATGCTTTTATTTAAAGCAGAATGTCTCCCCCAGTGGACAGTTTACTTAAGGGTACAGCAGCTAGAAGTTTTGGGACAACCTTCACATCACAGTTCTGTGCCTGCTTCACCTTGCCACTAGTTGCCCCTCATAATATTTAGTTTTAATATATTTGAGCTTAATTGTATAAAATGCCTTATCTTCATACTTTTACAATAGGGACAGAGGGAGAGAACGTAACATTGGTTTGAAAAGTGTTTGGCTTACATAAACCAGAGCAGCAAATAAATATAATCCTGGTAAAAATACATCTAATTCCACATTTTCAGGTGAAACGGTGTCTGTATATGACTTGCTGATGTTCGTCATCATGTTGAGAAAGTTTATAAAAAGAAATTCATCAAACCAGGTTTTATTCCACACACTGCAATGGGAGCGTCAATGTCAAATACATCTTCTGGCAGGGTTCTTTCAACCGTCTCATATTTAATCATTTGGGAGAGAGCAGGATGAAGACATCTGCGTGACATCTTTTTTTCCTGAAACAGTCGAGATTATTGTGACCCCCCCCATCCCATTTTATATTTGGTCTGTTTCACCACTATTCTTGAAGCCCATGGAGGTGTAATACTGACAGCAGGTAATTATTCATTTTTAAACAATGACTTTTTCTTAGTAACGAAAGTCCCCTTGACAAGTCAAAGGTGAAAATTCACACACACCTGCTTTTATATGATTCTGGTGCTAAAAATACAGGAACACATTAAGCAGAACAGCTGTGTTCCCGGAAGCCGCCATCAGGGCTGGGGACTCTAGCCTCCAGGTGACAGGTGACCTCAAGCTTGGCACTGCCTGACCTCAGCTGCTAGGGGGAACAACCCCTAACGTGACTCGGAGGTTTATCGTAGGTCTAATCTCATCAATCTACATTAATACACACCCACCCACCCATCCGAAAACACATCATCGTCTTAAAAACGAATCGCTTTCTCGGTTGACCGGATTGAAAATACCTGTCCCCAAACACCAGAATTTTGAAACAGTCATTCAACAAACATTCATCACCATTTTAGTTCAGAAGAGAAAAAAAGGAGGCATGGAATAGAAGAAACACCAAGTGTATAACTTCCTAAACTTGCTCATCTATATTTTCAGGAAAAGCAGACAGGTTGACAGTTGATTGTAATCACTGATTATACCGTTAGTGACCTTTCGCTACCCGTTAACCTAAACCGACAATGGAAAACTGGAGTTGTTTTGCTGAACTGAGACTGCAAACCATTCCAGCTAGCTGAAGCAACTTAACGCCACTGTCAAACTGGCACCATATATAACAGAAATGCTCCCCCACACCAACTCTTACAGTGAGCTGGCATGAGTGTAGACAATCTCCTAGCTCACCAACTGATAGGACTCATTATGCAACTGAGACGGACTAGTATAGAACAGCCTAAATCATATGGCAATAGGGCATATACAGCTGTACCCACTCATACTGAACAAGTTCTAGTGAGATCAGGTATAACCCCAAATCTTAAAGACGTATGTATAGAGCATGCATGTATCATAGTACTGAAGATGGTTCTCGTCCGTGAGTTTAGGGCACAGGACCAGCAGGCAGATATCAGTAGTGTGGCATTTGGCGGTGGGGGGGGGTCAATGGGCACACAGGAGCTTCCACACTTCCAGTGTTATTTAGTCAATCGTTTAATCAGCACAGAAAGGTTCCCATACATTGAGTTGACGTGGCAGCAACCTAGGGGTCAAGTGTAACGGTGAGCCCTCACTGCAGGCTCAGACAGCTGACCGAATGTAGGGTACGCACTGGCATGTGCCAGGGAGTGAACAGGGTGGGGCACCCACAGGGCACACTGATTTCATATTTCAAGTTAAAAACCACAGCGGGGGAGGGGCACACATAGGCGACTTTGTCAAGGCAAAGGGGCTTCCAGGTCTCAAACGAGGATCCCTGCCTGTCTTTGATCTGTCATTCTCTTTCCAGCCCAGTGGACAGTCTAGGTGTCTGCATCAATCCGGTGGGCTGCAGGGGTGAGGCAAGGAACAAAAATGTGTTAATTATAAAACTGAGCAGAAGAGATTTTAGACAGTACAAGGAAGGTGCTCACATTGTTTTGGTATCCTGAGTGCCTCCGTGTCTCCAGACAGGACTTGATGCATCACTCCCCGGAACTGGTACAACACCTTCAGGCTCTTCTCCTCCCCAACACAGGGGTCGTAGAAGCCAGGCAGGCCCGACTGAGGAGTCATCACATGTCAGTCAGCATGGGGGGGGGGGGGGGGAATACAGTGCTTCACCATTGAGGCAGGTCAATGTCTATTCATCTCTCATCACTACCACATTACACTGAGATTATTCAGACCAACATAGATCTCAACAATGATCCTGACGACCAACTTGATGATGTAGTGAGTGGCATTATTTAGACCATCCACGATATGCCCACCTTTGTAGCCTCAGTGAGAATGAGTTTGGAGTCCTTCACCAGACATTGCAGGGGGACGGTCACATCGATGACCTTTGCTCTCTCATGCTTTCTACTGTTGTCAGTCACAAACTTTCCATACCAGGCATTAAGGATGATTAGGCCTTATGAGAGAGAGAGAACAAATTACCACTTCCAGCATCATCTATCTAACCATCGATCAGACCTTAAGACCATAGTTTCTCAACCTGGTCTTTGGGACATACAGATGGTCTCGTTTTTGCTCCCTCCCAGCTGCCTGTCACAGTCCACACTTTTGCTCCCAAAAACGCAGACCGTCTGTAGGTCCCCAAGGACCAGACTGAGAAGCACTGCTTTGGACAGACAACTTGCTAATGCTAACTCACCCATCCTGGACTCCTCAGCCTCGATGATCCGCCGAACCGACTCCTGCATTAGTAAAACCTGCAAAACGAGGGACAAAGTCTGCCTTCTATTTTTTCTCTTCTCCAAAAACACATCTGCTAACCCACTGGGGCTCCACTACTATGCTGCCGCTGGAATACATTGGTGGGGAATTCTGTGGGGAACCCCTAGTCGATCAAGGGCCGCTGTGTGGGAAGGTCAGTATTATATCTGACACATAATTACATCATTAAGATTGCTGGGTTTGAGCAATTTTCTCAGCCATAGTCTCAAGTGGTCATTTCAAAAGTGCTGGTCATCTGCAGTTACGTACGGCAGCCTCTGCTTCCTGCCTTTTCCGGGCGACGCCAGAGGACAACGTCTCCTGCTGCTTCTCCAGGTCTCTGCGTGGAAGGAAGGGGAACTGGCTGTCAGGGATCAAGTTGTTAAGCAGAAGTTTGACCTTGATTATCACCAGTGGCTAGGTCATTCCCCAGCTGCATTACTGCGATTGCCGAGACTTCAAAACCCGAGGTGGAGAGGATTATCCATAGACGACAAAGCCCTGTTCCCCCCGGATGATTTCTATTGGTTTTCACTGACTGATGTCAACAGCCAGTGAGGGTGGTGAAACCTCATATTCCTTCTATCAATATATTTTATTGAGAGCCATGTAGGATGGGGAGAATTAATGTGGCATGAAGTACTGGTCTAGAGGCTGATCTTACTGTTCCTTCTGGGCTCGCAAATAGGGCTTGATGACAAGCCTCTGCATGGCCAAGTAGAACACCAGTGGTCCGGCTGTAGCGTAGAAGATCGCACTGGGTAGGATCTGGTCTGTCAGGTGAATCGGGAAAAAGTACGTCTGGCTTGCCCTGTTCAGTCTGGATAGAATATATTAAAAACATATAGTGCAACATAAACAACTATGATACAATATTAGTTGCCCTGCTAAGAACTGTGTGCACGCTAATGCTAACATACTTGATTTTGAGGGAAACTCCTTGGGGCACACCGATACTGACTGTAGCCCCCAGCACACTGTGCCGACTGATCTTCCGCTCCGCGCCATACTCTACCACTGTGCCGAAAAACCCTGACCTGCAGAATAAGGATAGGAGCACACGGACAGCAACTTTGCATTTCAGTCAAATGCATCTGAACTTACTCAACAGGCTGGCATGAGTGCAAAGAGATATGGGATACCTACTTCACAGAGCCCTTGATCTTGGTCTGGTCTTCATCCTGGAATTTGTACTGGTAGCTCATCATCACGAAGGAATGAGGAATGCCCAGCTGTGAACAGGATTCAGAGCAGAGTGAATGGAGCCAGGTGTTCAGGGATGACCAGTCACACACACAAGTTTTCCCCAATCAATAAGGTCTCCTTGGATTCACCTACACATGATGTTACCAATGACGTAGCTGCTGCACTATAAAACCTGTTACTGTCAGCGGCGCTGGTCAGCAGGTAACTGTGAACCGATGTTTTGACAGGCATTGCAGACTCCTCCGGGTATGCCTCATTAACTTAATTTCTGTGGTGTTTTAACGAGAACAAGCAGGGCTTGTTAAACCGAGTTTCAGTTCTGAAGAATCACCACAGCTTAATGGACTGTGAACACTTCAAGCAGGTCTCAAGCTGCCATTAAACCCCTGCCGGTTTGTTGCAGGTTGAGTACAGTTTATTGGGTATGGGGTGGAGTGTCTGTCTCCCCCGGCGCTAACCTGCAGGGCGAATGTGAAGTGGCTACTCTTCGTGTCCCTCACGATGCTGGTGTTCATGGAAGACTGGGTGCCCCATCTCCACTGCAGGTAACCCATGGTGTTCTTGTCCAGGTGCCGGGCCAGCACAGTGTTCATGGCGGGCCGCACGCCACGGGACGAGAACTGCATCCCGCACTGCGCCGTCATGAAGCTGTCAAGGAACACAAGTTAAGGTGGTGGGGGGGTGAAGGCACACAAAGCATAAAGTGAAGCAGGAAAGTACTGCAGATCTATAACAAGACATAATATACCAGTGTTTCCCAATCCGATCCTCGTGGACCTGCAGCCAGTCCACGTTTTTGCTCCTTTCTGGCTCCCTTATCGGGGAGCAAAAACGTGGACGTCTATGGGTCCCCAAGGTCCGGGTTGGGAAACACTGCTAAATTCTGTCCTCCAGTGAGTTCCCCCTGGGATCAATATAGCTTATAGTGCAGTATATGTCGTATAACATATTACTTTATTTTTTTGTTATCCACAACCCCCCACATCATGTTGACTCCCACTCCACCCTCTCTCTCATATCATCATATTACAAAAATGGCATCTCCATCCATCGGCACTGATGTTGGTTATTTACTGTATCTCTGTATTTCTCAATGGAAGATCCAGTCTGCTGTTGGGAGACTCTTGGTGCTGAGCTATGCTGTGGGGACGCCATGGCAATGCACACCCCTGCTGGATGGTGGCCAGCTCTCTGATAAGGAACATCGGCTGCTTCTGGAACAACCCAGACGGCAAGCCTCTAGGCCCCAAGTTCTACACTAACGGTGCTTTTCCATGCCACTAAGAACTGAGTCATAGCACTCACTGACAGTCATCCATTGTAAATGAGGCGAGCTGTAACCGCGCTCACCACCATCTGATTGGTCAAAATACACGGAGATATAATTCAAAATTTGGTGATCAGTGGTTATTGTTGACACGCCACAGCACACAGTGCACAACAACGAAACGTGTCCTCTGCATTTAACCCGTATGTGACTTCGTGACATAGCAGGGGGCAGCTAATTCAGCTAATTGGGGGCGGTACCTTGCTCAGGGTACCTCAGTGGTGCCTTGCTGGTCAGGGATTCGAACCAGCAATCTTTCAATTACAAGTGCGCTTCCCTAACCATTAAGCCGCCACTGCCCACAAATATGCTTACCTGGGATGATTACCAGATACCAGTGTTATGTTGATAAGCGTAGATTATCTGAAGGAATAAAGGCTATATTCTATATATTATTCATTATTAGTAGTATCACAATGTATTGATGCATTCCAACTTGGAACTTGAAAATTTCAAACCACCTGCGTAAATAAGTGCTATAGAACAGCTGAACAGAAAGGATTTGTAATGCAAATTTAAGCAAGCAAATGCAAATTCTGCTAGTGTTTAATGCTAACATAAAACAGTGATTCTCACCAGACATGCTACCAGATATTAGCACACAGTAAATCATTATGTACGCCTTGTGAACGGTAAATAAGCGCCTCTTCGGGTTTATGTCACTCTCACTCTCCAAACCTGCCAATGCTTTACCAAGCCAATCCTTCTGCAGTGGAAAACTGAAGTGAGCTGGAACCACACTGTAACTAGTCCCTCTTCGCAGTACGGCTCGGGTACGGGTTGATTACTGTATGCCAGTGGAAAGTGCCAAACGAAAGCAAAGATGTCGGGGGTGGACCCCCTCTGCCACCTTAATGGGGCACATCTGCTGCCTCCACGAAGATTATGTGTATCGTACGGGGAGACTGGAAGCAGAATGACAGTTTGCACTGGTGGGACAGCAGTCTGGTTAACCTCTTCACTAAAAATAGGATGCAAGTTGGCTATTGGGACAGACATGAATCTCAGTGCAAAAGATGCACTCAAAAGAAGGCAAAAACATCATGAAACATTGATAATACTGCAAATGGGGGGGGGGGGGTTCAACCCATATTCTCAATGTTTAACATGTGACTCATAAAAATTTGATCTCCTGCCGACTTCAGCTGGACTGAGCCTTTGCGGCAGCCCCATCCCAAAGCACATTGGAATTGCATTTATCCCGGCATTGTGGGCTGTTACGCTGCGTTCCCTTTACCTCGGAGGTCGGATCTCGGAGCTGGGAATGATGGCCCTCCCCGAGTTGCCCGCGTTCCAGTACGACGAGTCAGAAAGTCATTTAGCAATACCAGGGACCTGCTTCAAAAAGCAGGATTTTTGCTCAGCTGGGTGGCTTGTCAGATTTAAGGTACCCCAGTTTAAATGGCCTTTATCTTCAATTACAATTAGCCCAGACTACCTTAAATCTGGCAAGGTATCCAGCCCAGCAAGAAATTCTGCTTTCCAAAACAAGTCCCATTAGGGACAGCGCTGTCAGCCATAGTTCACTGTTGTTCATTGTTAGCAATACCAGTTGACAACAAGGCATTACACGGTATTTTGTGCATACAAACGCCATAGCCACAAGTCCACAGATAGCAGTTGAATAGTACTGTGTGTATGACAGATTTAATGAGACACAAATAATTCATAAGTGCTAATAATCTTTATATCTACAGCATTCACTTCTGTTTATGAAGGGTGCAGCCATCTTAAATTCCGAAGTCAGGGTTGCAGAGGTTCCTCTGACTTCCTGAGTTGGAATTCTGACTTCAAGGGGCGTTCCGGTCTAAATTTCCCACGGGGAACTCAGAAATTCCGACCTCTCAGTTCAAATGTAATGTAGCATTAGACTCGATGGGGGCGGAGTGAGGACAGTCACGTGACTCATGGAAAGGTGGAAGGAGCATTTCATTGAGGATGGTAGTAGACTGGCGGGGGGGGGGGAGGAAAGCAAGTGACATTTCAGGAACACCAACGACCCTAGCTAGCTGTGCAGGGGCTCTAAGTGGGCCACCAAGGCGGATTACATGTGTGATGGGTCAGGTACTGGGCTCCAGGTATGTTTACTGGGCCGAGGGTAAAGTGAAGGGAAACAAGGGATAGCTGAAATGACCTTGCCCCACCAGGGATGTCCACCCCATACTATGAAGGGGGCGGGGGGGGGGTTTAGAAACTTGCAGCAAAGCAGAACCAGATGAACCACCCACTGTTAAATAATGCACCGGGAAGCACTCACCAGCGTTGCGTCAGATTACGGAAAATCTTTAGTCCAAAAAGGGGTCCGTGTGTGTCCCCCGCACCAAACTCCACCTGCAGGGACCAGCGACAGACCCACATGAAACCGGGAATGGAAGCATGCCCTCTTGTGGGCAGTTCTGGGGGTGCCAGATTGTGCTTTGGATAGATGGGGACTATCAAATGTTTTAACCTTTGCTCCCCTTCTGGCTAGGCCCTTAGTTCTCCTAATGATAAGATAAGATAAATCTTTATTGTCATTGTCACTTGAACAACGAAATTGAAAACTGGAAAAAATGTAGCCCAAACATTTAGTCATTGGATCTGCAACATAAACAAAAAAAAAAGAGAATAATAAAATTGACAATGTGTGAGGCTGCTAGTATTCGCCTCAGTTTTATAGTCTAACTTATTTTTCGATAATGATTACTGTATGTTCTTCTCCTACAGTGGTACTATGGATGTCTGATCAACCTGTGCTCTTTCTTTCAAAATAACAGACATTGTGCACATGGAACCAGGAAGACAGAGCCACCCCCTACCCACGTGGCCCTGTCTGGCGATACACTCCACTGAGTCACACTGTCCCAGCCCACCCCCCTCCCGGCCAGCCCCATGTGCATGGCAGTTTATGGCATCTGACCTCTCCCCAGCCCTTGGCAGAGGTAACCCGCCGCAGAACCAAGCTGATGTTCCCCCCTCCATTGCCGTTCTGCGTGGAGAGGGAGCCGGACAGGATGGCCGTGTTACTAGAGGTCAGAGGAGCCTGAAATGAGGCAAAGGCACAATGTGTCAGGATCACGCTGTATACTGCTGCTTACTGACCATACTACAAAGGTTAGGGCGCCCCCTACAGACCATATACATCATGCAGGAACCATCCCCGACTGTTTACATTTTTTTCAATTACAAATCACAAGATGACCTAACAGCCAATTAGTAATGGCCAATAGCCATCTATCACATTCATTATCCAATAGGAGTTAGTGGTTGCCACTTGTACAGCTCCTTTATTCTGAATTGACTGACACATTCAGGGGCTCTCCAAGGTCTTGTGTGCCCATGAGACAATGAATGTAATGTTTAATATAATACTGCTATCTAAAATAGTCAGCAGTATTCACTTTGTTGTAAACAAATTGTAACACTGTAACATTAGTGGCACGCTAATTAGTAACACACTAATGTGTGTAAATACACTGTGTGTAAATAAACTGCAGCTTCGGACATCCTCATCATCGCATTCAATACCTCCACAATTGTCAAATTCATATCGCATGGTGGGTCATCTAGCGCTTAGGCAAAAAGAATTTTTTACAGGATGTAAATTAGTAACATCCATCGTAAATGTTTCTCAGGATGGACAGCACACATTCCGAATGTGAGGCCACAAGCCTGACATCACAACGCACTCGTCGCAATCTGTGTGACAATAAGGTGGCCCCTACCTCTATAGACTGCGATATGTGCATCTTGTTGATTTCAATGCGTGGGAATCCCCCTCCAGGCATGTCTTCGTAGTCTTCCTCATAGCGGTCGAAGAGATCTGTGGCATCCACACCTACACTAATCACCCCCTGAGTAAGATACAAGACCGTCAGTAAAGGCCAATTCATACTACACTTTTGCGCTTTTGGTTGCGGAGGAGGGGACGTGACATTAATTTCATTATCAGGGGTTGGCTGCGGACAACTGTGGTCAGAGCATGTGTAGCCCAGATTTTTATGTATAGCGGAAATCATGTGCATTGATCCTGCACATGCAAGATAATTGATTAGGTATTTCCAGTAGGTGGCAGCACAGACTTTCACAGATCAGTGGTCAACAATGAAAGAGCAGAGGAGGAACAGTTGTTGTTGTAGTAGTTATGGCGAGCAACTGTATGAGGAGGGTCGGAAGTACACAAATATCTCATTTTACCATACTGCCCAGACATCATACTGAGCTTCATTATGCTGCACACTTGCACATTTCACACATATAACAGTATCAAATGCAATCTGCAGTTGTTGCACTGCAAGGACTGGTGTATGCACTGTACGCATCACTGCTTGCACTGAACCACAACCAGTTCTGGTATGTTCACTTACTGGCAATAAAGTGTTCTGAGTTCTGAGGTGTATGCTACTTTAAAAAGCAGCACTATTCCAGCATTTTTAAATTTTTGCGATAAAATTTGCCAACCCCGGGGGAGAGGATCCTGTCTAACTTTGTCCTAAGGATTTTAATACACCGCGGTATGCCATATTACCGCAGTACTGCCCAAGCCTAGACTAATAACTTTAGAACTGTTCATCAAAGTTTACCCATTTCTAGACACTGCTTGTACGTGTGTTTGTTACAATACATCTGCCCTCTCCGGGTCTGGTGGAATATCACCGCTTTATGCATGCACTGACCCCAAGCATCCACATCCGCAGTCAATTGCAGTATGAACACAAGCTGCCGAAAGCGAAAACTGAAGTATTAACTGGCCTTAACTGCATGAGGAGGCGGGAAAAAAAACACGGACGACTCTGAAAATTCGGTGGTGTCGCCATGGCGTCACCATGGCAACACAAACTCCTGAACCCTAACCTTGGGGTTGGTCCTCTGCTGCAGCCTCCTCTCGTCCCTCTCCCTCTGCAGGCGCTCGTACTCCTCCCGGATCTCAGCGGGGGTCCTCCGTCTCTCCACCACCTGGAAACCCAGGGGGCCTTAACCATGGACTATTCCAGAAACTCCTGGTCGACAGGACATACTGTACGTGTTCATGTCTCTCCAAGCCCTGCCGCGCATTTTCGACAGCTCGGTCACCATTACCTCTGACATTTACTGAACGATGTGGGAGACACAGAAACGACCAATGAATTATCAGAAAAGGGATTAGACATGTAACCATGTAAATATGCAGGTCAATGATAAATTAAACAGGCCCATGATCGATTTGAAAATCCAACATCTGTGTGAAGTGAGTATATATATAGTATATATTGTTCGTTTAACATGAGGAATACAGCAGGTCGATGTTTGCTTAACATGAAGCTCTGATGTCAAAGAATCTCGCAGACGTTAAACTCACTTCCCATCCTTCGACTTCCAGTCCCCTCTTGCCATAGATGTCGTAAATGGCCCTGGACTGAGGATCGCTTAGAACTGCAGTGACAGGGAGCCAAGAAGATCAAGTTTAGAACATGTGCTAAAGTGGGAGCCGCTGTCTTTGATGGCAGCCTGTGCTCCAACTCTCATATACACTTAGAGAGAAAATGGGAGGACGGCAGGTGAAGCAGTTGCGCAAGAATGAAGTACGAGTTCAAAGCAACACATGGTCTATTCCCATGAAAGAAAACAAGCACTAATTACTGTAACAGATGGGGGAATTACCATCACGACTGAGTTTCTTTTTTAAAAAACATGACATCTTTCTTGTGTTCTCTGGCACTCTCTTTGCCAGTACAAACTGGCCAGTGAGGGTCAGCTGACTTACAGGAAATACTTTTATTATGTTACTTACAAGGTCAGCCTGTAACACCACACAGAATGAACATCCAAAAGACTTGTACTCTCAGACGTAGGGGTTACAGGATTAAGGGCACATCCCACCTTCATAGGCCTGGTGCACAAGGTTAAAAAGCTGCTCTGCCTGCCGCTTCAGCTCTGGGTCCCTGTGCTTATCAGGGTGGTACAGCATGCAAAGCCGTCGATAGGAAGCCTTCAGCTCCTCCTGCGTCGCCTGAGCTCACAATCACGAAGACAAGAGCAGAGGTGTGTAAGCAAAAGTGTAAAGAGAAATCGAATGTGACATTTTCAAATTCAAAAGTGTGATTAAAATGGTTGAAGACGACTGAATCATTGTAACACCAAAAGTATTGGCAGATGCGAAGTAATTTCTAACAAGTTTGATTCTGAACTTTTTAGACAAATTTCTTCTGAAAATTAAATATCATTACAGTTAGGAAAATACCACGAATGTTACTAGAAGATTTCTTCCCAGGTTGCTTAAAGATTATTAGTTTCAGCATAGGGTCTCAATCAGCGGGTCGTTTTAGGCAACTGGCGAACAAACTGAGAATCAATGAACGGAGTTGACATACTGTAAGTCTGTCCTCCCATTGCCAAAATAAAAAGCTCTTGACAGCTATCTAGCTTGACTTTTGTCCAATGTGGTGTATGTGTATGATAATGCGTGTGTCAGCAGACAGCGAGCCGCCGTCACATTGCGCCGGTGGGAACTGAGCATCAGTAGGGATATACATGACTAACGAAACAAATCTCTTATGCTACCATATGGAACTATTTACATGCACCCCTCGCTAAAAGCAGATGTGACAGTTACGTTAAAATACAGCGAGGTGTGTCAAAGTTATCTTAGTAGGAGACTCAAAAAAACCCTTCACCGTAAAATCAATGTTAAGCAAGGGTCACCCGTTCATTCGGCGGAGGCATTTTCTAAAGAAAATGTTTCTGAGATGGACAAAGAAATCGCACCGCACTAATTCTATATATACCGATGTCACGTGGTTTCGGATCACTAACCTCACGCCTAACATTGAGTAAAGAGTAGTAATCATCGTTATCCACTTCATCTTCTTCCAAGGCAGCCGCCATGTTTGCAACCTTTAGTCCCGCCTCACAGGTTTCTGTGCAGCATTGTAATGACTGGCGCCTTTTGTAACTGCTAGCGCCACCTGCTGGGTAGGATGTCTCTTTTCCTTCTAGTTTTGTGACAAGAGTAAGAATATATACTGTAGAAGTGGTTGGGGATTGTTACGGGATACTTCAGTTGCTTTTATTTGAAAGTACTTAATTTGTGTGTGCCTCAAATCCACGAACATATAATAGGCCTACCTACAAAGAGTCAACTACTACTGCCTGTCGACGATTTTTCAGTTTGTTTACGCTCTGGTAAAAATGAAAAAACATGCAGTATGTTGTCAATAGCCGCATCAAACAAATGGGTTTCATTTTTTATTTATTTAAATTCACATGAAACATCAGTCTTGGTTTGCAGTCACTGACGCCGTAGTCAATCTTTTCGTTTGCCCAATATTAGGTGCACACTAAGTGTAATTTCGACAGGATTCGCTTTTATTTCCATGGCTGCAAAAATTAATTTATTCATTCTAATATTCTCGAAGTAAGCTGTTAAGGATATCCTCATTTTTGACATTTTAAGTATTAATAACCATTTTGTATTATGTGTGACAGCTTTTCATTATTTGAAATTAATGAGAAAATATTCTATTTAACCTTATGTCAAACAAATTTATAATATATATATTATAAAGCTTTGCAATCTTCGCAGTAATAATAAACCAATGACTTACTTTAGGTTTATGATTTATGAATCTTATATCCATTCTCTAGTTTTGTGATGCTTCGGAAGTAGATATCCTTGTCAGTGGGTTATTATGTCTAGTTACAATGCAGACTGTAAATCACATACAAGTTTATATGTGTACCCAGATTAATGAATTGATCGATTTACTACATGAAGAGGAATGTATCCATACTCAGGGATCCGCATTCGGATGGTTTATTTTTGACAGAATGTGTACTACCTATTTACTACCTTGCCTTAGTTTTCAGTTTTATGCTTTGTGTAAATTAAAATTTTCTCAAATGCCCAGACGGCGTAACCTGGCAGACAATTATAACTTCGTAAGAATGACTTGGGCCTATTTAGTTAGACTCCGCGTGACACTGAGAGACAGCACGAAAGTTTTTGAAAACATGAACTACTGTTTCTGCCACATGTACAGCCAAGCACGTTTCTCGCAGAAACAGTTGAATTGTGTGAAATATTTATTGCAATTAGCTTAGTATGCGCAGTGATGATTTTGGATTCCACTCTTCCACCAGCCTAGCTTCACATAATAAGAGTTGAGAAACAATACTTTAACATATGGCATTTATAAAGTAGGCCTATTTAATTTAATGATGCAGCCTCAGACCCACGAGCTTCCGTTCCGCATGTGTTCCAGTTCGGTCCCAGTCTGAAGACGCAGATTTCAAATTACCCATAGCGTGCGATAGTTGATTTAGCGGTTACTGGTAATGGATATTATGACATCACCATAAACCCATACTTATAGCTGTATAGAAACTTATGCGGAATTTGTGGATACGTTTTCCGTACTTTATAAAATATCCTGAAAATATAGACATTCTCCGTTCAGCCGCCTTGTTAATACCAGTTTAACATGTACAGGACCCTATCGTGAAACTATTTTCAATCAGAACGGACTTAACTACAATTAAATCCTCAATGATTTTTCTGGATTAATATCTAAATGTGTAGTGTGGCGCTTTAAAATTTGCCCCGTCAGTATTATTTTCCTAAGGGTGTGGTGAATGGTGCGCCTTTTCAGCTTGCAACTCTTTTTAAGTACTACTTAGAACATAAGAGATCATTGCAGTTGCGAATGTAATTTGAAAGTATGTAAACTTTTATCTGAAACCATTTTACGTACAGCCTATATATTAACCAGTTTCGTCATAGCCTTTCACGGTGTTTTCTGGAAGCTGACTTGTCCAGCTTGGAACTCTCTCTCCATAGTGACGTACACGGCCATTTCAGAAGCTGTTCTTCTGTGCCGATCAAAGTAACCTTGAGCTATACCTAGGAGGTAAATTGGTGGTAAATTGCTTGGTAATTTTTATTTTACGGTACATCAAAAGTTAATTTGGTTGACCTTGCTATGTATATAGGTCTGATTTTAAGAAACCGAAAACATTTAACTGTTCTCAGTTAAACAGTGAAGGGAGTATCAATATCTTGTGGCTAAACTGTAAAAGTTTTAATGCATTTTTGAGACCTCGCAAGGACAGTAAGCTGTTCAGACTGAAATTAATTTTCTTTCCCGGCAGATGTACATGCGCAGGAACTCTTTTAAAAGGAGCGCTTGCATCTTTTCATGTACTATACACGTCGTCATTGGTATGTTGAATACAATTGTTTAGTCTGAATTTTAAAAATATAAATGCAATGCCATGATAATGTGAACCAGATCTAAATAACAGGGAAAATGTCGATTAGATCGACTTAATAGCCTATTTGCTTTTTAAAGTTTGAGATTTAAAATTGGCGATTAACTGAGGTAGACTTTGGTCACGCATGAAAACGTTAGAAAGTATTAAGTGAATTTTTTAAATAATAGCTATATATACATATGGTATAACTGGCCACGTGTCTTACAGAAATGCAGCACGTTTATTTCCGAACTGCTTTCTTTACTTGGTCCTGTTGAAATATATATTTTGTAAAGGTTTTGGGATAATATAATATAATGGAAGTAGCTCCCCACTTTTGCTCTGGTTTAACTTTAAAAGGTATGGGCCTATTCACTTTACAATTGAATTTCACTACACAAGTACAGTGTATGTTTGCGTATGAGACAAAACTTGAAACTTGAGTTATTAACGTAGTATTGGGTTAAATATAATTTTGTAATCATAAACACCTTTAGACAATCGTTTCTGGGTCTTAAACTGAATTGAGCTGCCATCAAAGTTTTGGATTTTAGCTGACGCTGCCATGCAAGTTGTCATCCGTTTTTAGGGAATTGAAATATCCGAAATGTAGACATAATCTAATGTTATATGTCGAAAACGATAATAAAACATTGTTTACCGCACCAGTACTTTTACTTTTGTTGAAATGTAGCTATGTATGTCATGACTGTTTGCGAAGGTTATGCTATTTATTTGAATTATTAGCAAACATTACTATCCCGTGAAGTAAACAATATATGGACTATCAGTACATATAATTTTCGATTGTTCCACGTACTTAGAAACTGGTCGCAGTAGTCCGGTATGTAAACTGGGCCGGGGCTCCGTTGCACGGAGCTGTCTTTTCAGCACCACTGGCGCGTGACAGCGCTCATAAAAGAACAGCGTGACCTCGTGCACGAGCATTTAGAACAGCTTGTGCTCCTGTTTATAAAACTTCCAACAAGTCTTAAAAATCAGTTTACACGTGTCATTTATATAACAATCGTATTCTCTTTTACGCACGTACTGTAATCCCGTTTTCTCAATATTTTGTAATGGCGCAAAAACGAAAATTCTTTGGATGTTTCAGTCAGTATAGAATAATAATTTTTTAATGTAAAGCTGAAGCGGGATTTATTTTGTTAAATTTAACATGGCGTGGTCTTTAACATCAAAACTAACCGAATACCAATAACAGTGAAAAATAATGTTTATCCAGCGCACTTTAAAATGTTGTTGGTGGGTCAACTCATTCGCCACAGTTGTGTAACACCCATTAGGTGACGCAGCACAACCTTCGCCTCAGAAGTAACGGCTGAAGAGTTGAAAACGCATCCTCTTATAAACCAGTAAACTGGCATGGGAATACTGCAAATTACAAACGTTTATTTTACATCTGGGTAGCGTTACATATATATCTAATAAACGAGGCATAAGATCGTTTAATAATCACAGTTTGTCTTTTTAAATTTTTTCCCCTTTTTTATCTGGTATACGTCACTTTCAGCATCATAGCATCCGTGCTATGTACCTTGCCCAAGCGAGAACATTGCCCCTACCGGGCTGCTTCAACGCAGTCTGATTGGTTTAGGTAACAGAATTGAGAAGCCAGGATTTCACTAAGACAAATACATGCAAGGGCATCCCAACTGACTTTCAACGATAAAACAGGTACAGCAACAGTACTGAATAAAGAATACGGGTATCTCACAGAAACATGCGTTGCACAACAATGCGTTGTAGATCAATGTGGTTGCTCAACGTATTTATTTCATGTATAGCAATGGCGCTTTTCTAAAATCGACAACAACATTTATCATGGGGTAATCGTGACACCTACTTTCACTTGTCATGCTATTATTTGCGTTGCCACTGGCTTTTACATGGAATGTAATCGGAAATATTAATAGCAGAGACCACATGAAAGAGCCACCATTTCAATTATTCTCCCCCAAAATCATAGCCACTAAGCATCTCTGATTTCGAGTGGGCAAGACGCGTATTCTACAACGCTTATTGGTTTATATCACGCTTAGCTGTCTCTAAATATAAACTTTGCCCAATTGTGAGTGAGGGAGGCTTTAGAGGCGGGATGTTTTTTCATCTACGCAAACTGCATTTCATAGTTTGATTGCCAGTCATTCCTTCTTGACCAATGCATGCCGATCATCCGTCGGACTTTTCTGCTGGTCCCGCCCCCTCCTCGGCTGTCCTCGCCGTGCACGCGCGTGGTCCCCCGGTCGCGAAGAGGAGGAGGATGTGGCGCGCGGAGGGGAAATGGCTGCCGAAAACAAGCCGGAAGGTAAGAGAGAAATAACGGATTTCATTTACGCCATTTAAAAATTCTTACCTATATATAATGTAATGGTCTTAATTTAAAAAAAAAAATGGGGAAGGGTGGGCGGGCGAAGTCGAGGTGCCTTTGAAAGTCATACGGCTCCTATATCAATCCTGAAACGGTTAACAAGCGAGATAACGTTGTGGGCTAGCACGCTAGGATGCTAGCTATGTCCATGCAAAAACAGAGGGACCGAATTACCAACCGGATCCGAATAACAAATCCTTCCAATTTCAGCGTTTGATATTCGTCGTAGAGTGCTAACTAACCAACTGACAGGCAAGCTGACTTGGCGTAAGCATGGCTCCGCCAACCACGAACTTCTCCCGCATGTAGCCAGCTAGCTATATTTTTGTAGCCTAGATGCCCACTTCAGTATCGCTAGGTAGCGACATGCTGTTTAATGTATTAAACTTCGTGCGATGCCGCCAGCTACGACGCCAGCTCACCGCTGTCACACCGTCATTTCAAAAGTAGAAACCGACCTCTTCGTTTTCCCCCCATTCTCAACTGCAGTAGCCGTAGCTATAATAGAAATTGAAAGCGTATGAAGGGAAAGTACAGTAACCTTGATGTCCACACGCTCGGTTTTGTGCTCGGCGGAGCGGCACAAGGCGGTGGAGAGTATCCGGAGGAGTGATTTAAAGTGTCGGCTCTGCAAACGTGATTTTCTCCCCTCCCTCCACGCCTGTGACTCGTGTTGTCCTTTTACAACCGGACAATGGAGTGCCTTGTAAGCAGCGAAATTACAATAAAACCAAGCGTGACATTTATACTGCTTAAGAGTCGGCGAGTACTCCGCATCTCCAGCTTTATGAACACGCGTCGTTTTCAGTGTTTGTTTTCGCCGTCCTTCGCGAAATTGTGTGTTTTAAAACAACTCGAATTTAAGGGTAATTACGACGTTATGGTGAGGAGAAACACGAGTGATAGACGGAATATTTCCAAAGCCGGGAGACGTTTGGAAATAGGCGAGCGCCGACAATGTGACCTCTTGAGCAGTCGATGAAACTGAACTGAGGTTAATTTCACTCACCTTGTTCAACGTTTGCATGGCATATGTAGAAAATGGCAACGATTGAAAAATGCTGTTAAAAGGAAGACGTTACCGGGCGAGATCGACGTGAAATAACGACTAATGTAAATAAAGCGGTTTACAATATTTTGAGGCGTCCTGCCTTCCGTCGCTAGTTTCACCGCGAAGAGTGAAATAAACGCGCATTTTTAAAATCCAATGCATTTGCACATTGAAATGTTAATAGTAAACTAAAGTATAATGGACGCCACAAGGTTAGTGTACCATTCGGGTCACTGTGTTTGTATGTGATTGAATGTGGTTTACGGGTATGCACCGTCGTCAGTTTCGGACTTGTGGTCTGGTTTTTTTGCGGGCGCTTTAAGATGCTGGTGAAAATTAATGCAAGGTCCGATCACTAAAAACGTCGATTGATATAGGCAATCCTTTTCAATTTTCGCCTAGGAATTCTAAATTCTAAATATGTTCCTCCATCGGATATGTGGACGACCACCAGGTGGCGAAAGTAGGACATTAACTTGTAAAAATCGTCGGCAAAGTCATTCGTTGTAATTAACCAGAATCCACGGTCGTGGTCAAAGCATGATAAAACAGTAAAATTAAAAATGTATCGGGGTTGGTAGATGTATGTTGGGAACAGATGCTGAAGTATGGAGCAGCGGGGAAAAAAAACCTAATTTAAAATGGCTCATTCTGTGATCATTAAGCTGACTTGATTCCCCGCGTGCATTAATATTTGATTTATTCGGAAAGTGAATTTAAAATAAACATACCTGAATCGCAGTCTATTTCTATTTATTATTAGGCATTGCGTGTACTTTAATGTAACGTTTATTGCATGTAAAAACCTGTATGCAAAAACGTAGCGATAAAAAATTAACGAAACAACTGGAAGCCAATATAACATCATTAGAAATGTTCTATTACCAAAGTTCCACAGGAGGGCGGTGTTGAGCTTTAAAAGTGAGCATTAACTTAGCATATGCTACTGACAAACATGTCTACTTCTGGAATTTAAAAGAGACATGGCCCTTTATTTAAATAACAGTTTTAATGTCATGCATACAGACAGTTTGGTCACTTGGTCCCCCCTTCTCTTCCCTTGGGACACTTGATTCTCAAAGACCTGCACCTGTATGAGAGATAGTCTAATGTAGTGTTCAGCAGCGAATTGAGCCTCTCATTGCAAGGAGGGTGGAGTTATTTCTGGCCTTAGAGCTCTATCAATAGTGGAGGGGCAGGTGATACATTATACTAGAAAGGTGACTTCCCCACTGCTCCTCACCAGCTAGGAAATGGCCTTTTACCCTGTCCCATGTGCAGGAGGTACCCCCAAAATTCAGCATCCACAAAATACCCATTATGGTGATCTTCCACTTTCGAGAGTGGAACGACGTATCTGTGGGTAAACAGCCCCTGGACAGTCAGCTGCTCTATGCATTTACTTATTTGTATAAGATGCTGGATTGTGAAAACCACCATTCCTCATCCGTGACCCCTGTGTCCTTGAACACTTGGAGAACCTTAGAGAAGGTTTTGGTGAGGTGCAGTGGGGTTTCTGTATCTAGCAGCTAACGTTGCACATTAGAACAAACAGTTTCCCAGCAGCAGGCTGTTGCCAGCACCTGTTAATCCTACCTGAAGAATTAGAGTCTGGTACTCTTGACCTGCACAATGGGATTTTTGTTAGGTGATGGGTTAGGTTAAAAGCATGCATGTGTCACCTATCATGTTTCGCAAGAAGATGAAGGTAGATCCGTATTGTTCTTTACATTAATTCAATGCGCAAGATTTATGGAATCACAATCCCTGTTTGGGCCATATAAATAGATAAGTACTTGAGCCTGCCTTTAACAAGATTAACTTGCCTCAGAAGGTGTTTAGTATTGATCCGATTGATTAATCCAGCTTACCGGTGATGAATGATGCATTGTCCCAAATCAAACTACAGCAGCACTTTGATGAAACTGATCATTGACCCTTTTGGCCCAGCTCCCATAAGGTGTGTGGGAACAGGCTGTCGTCCCTCTCGCCGTTTCCCTCTTGTCGTGTATTGTGTTGGCTCATAAGCCATTCACTTCGTGACCTTACTCTGTCTCCAGTACTTGGCTAAACAAGATTCGCTGTAGTCACTGCTCTTCTTTCGCTCGGCTCCACTGAGACTCACAAAAGCAAGCTGAGTCACTCAACACTTTAATACTGAGTTTAATACTTAATACTTTATTACTCAGGCATTTAACAGGCAGACCGTGGTTGATGAACGGCAAGTCTCAAATAGCCCTCCTCCCCTACACACTGCACACACCACCCTTTGTATGACCTTGGGGGTCTTCCTTCATATGGCTTTCAAACAGCTGTAGTTATCCTTGCTGACAGAATGCATATAAGCCATTGACGGTACTGGAGATACATGGAGGGTGTTCTCCAAGCCGGCCAATGGGAACACGTTGGGGTGCATGACGACGCACATGGGAGGGAGGAGCGTACACTGCTAATGCTCGTGCAGGGGAACTTTAAGAGAAAATCCTATTCTGTGCATGTGGGAATTGTGGAGCTGGAAAAAGTGCTGCTTCTCCTAGATGTTCTTTTTGTTCTGCTCTCTTTTTTGCTTCCTGAAGGACTGAAGAAAATACGTAATCCGGATCGAATGTACAGATCTGCTGTCTGTTATGCCGGCCATGTCCCCCCTAAGGGTGTCGGTGATGACAAAGAGATGAACAGTAAGAGTTTGTTATTAATACTGCATCTGTGGTATTGCTCGAAGGGAACGCTAGCTGGGTGATCTATTATTCATTCATCAATTCATTTATTTTCTTCTTGAATTCACCTCTCCCCCCTCCTCTGCCTGCACCCCCCCCCTTCCTCTGGAAGGGGTTCCTGAAGCATGCTCTGTTGATTGAAATGTCTGCTTTACAGAGGCATGCTGTCAATATCACAAGCGTTGTCATTAACTAAGAGGGGCTGTGAAAAGGTGGAAGCCAAGAGATAAGGAACAGGCCAGACCTGGTGGAAATGGTTTGTCAGTCTGATTTAGCCCTGACCATTATCCATTGTGTTCAACTGTAATTTGTCAGATGGAGGGAAAAAAGAAAACATAATTGGCTTGTGTATTGCTGTATTCTAATAAAATGATTTTAGTACATGTTATGAGTGCAAAAAAATGAATGGGTGTTATTTTAATAAAGTGGTTAATCAAAAACAGAAAAAGCCTTGATTGGTCCATTACAAATCATGTTTATTCATGTGGTGGGATTCTTCTGTAATGCTATTTGGAAGCTGTGGTATGTTGTCATGCCTAATCAGCACACTATGTACTTTAACAATTACCAAAGAATTGGTTGATCTGGATAATTAAGTGAATTCCTGATAGGTGTAATTCTGTAAAGAAGTAAAATCAGATCCATTCCACTAATGTAACACTCAGCCGTTATGCTTCTTAATTAGTAATCTATGCTGCTTCAAAGTAGAGTGTTTTAATGAACATGCTTTTAGATGTAAAATAAGACGCAGCCGTGTGCTTATCTCAGACTGTGTGGCTGACAGTACTGGGTGGAAGGCTTTCCTAACTGTAATCACTTTAGAATGTGCTGGGAATTTATTGGGAATATTGCTCTTCCCCCCAATTTCAGCTTTCATGCCTGATCCCATATTATGTCCGCTGTCCTCATATTTGATTACGCTTGAGGTACCACACTAGCTACTTCCAAAAACCTGCCCATTCATGTCCTTGGGCCACTTCTTCTGTAACCTTGAGCAAAGGAATTAAGTTGAACTGTTCCAAAAGATATATCCCACAAAATTTGTTCTTATGGACAAGTGCTCATCATCATCTCCAGATAGTAATCGGCTGCTGGGCTTCTATGTTGAAGCCTCACTTGAAAAAACTCCAGAAACACTTATTTTACTGCTCTCGTAGTTTCTTCCTTAAGAACGATAACACTGGTGCTTTTCACATGTGGTTTAGGTGCCGCACTGTAGGTTTCTCATGTAATGTAAACACTGGTGTTTGGTTTTGTTGATGACTTCCACTCAGAAGTAGTTTTGATATAATTTTGTTCAGAAGATGATGCCATTTGTATTCAAAGTAAAGTGTTAGATACAAGGAAAACTCCCGTTTTGTTTCCTCAAATTGCTCGCAATCTGACATCCCATGGAAATATTTTCTAAATTCTCTCTGTACTGTGTAAAATGTAGACACCCCGCTACTCATATTTTTATCGCATCATCCATACCTGCAGCAGGAATTTGTAATTGTAGTTAGCTGGTCTGCCTTTAAAAACTGTAGTTCTTCTGATATTTACATTAAAAGCCCCCACCCCCATTCTGTCATGAATTCATAGTCCTAATGAAAATGAAACAATAGTAAAGATGAAGTGCATCCTGGGAGTTTCATGTGACTGCCGACCATTGGCCATGATCTGCACACTAGAGAAGCAAACCAGGAGCGCACTTTTAATCATTGTTTATTCTACAGTCAAAAACATGGGGCATCAAAAGCGATGGGGTCAATTGGAGATTTGCCAGTTTTTAAAGCTAAAAGATGGCACTAATTCACTTATGTAGTGTAATCCAAAGTTGATGAATGGAAGCCCCATGGTCCTGCTTTAAATAAGCCAAATTTAGAAATGAGGTTATTATGATAGAAATGTGGTTTTTGTGGAAAGGCGTAGTTTGTCCTGTGTCCTGCTGTAGGACTGAAAATGGCTCATGCAAGATTATCCATCTCTCCATGCATCTGTCATACCATAGCATGCTTGATTGCCAGCATGTTAATTAACCAGCTATTGCATCTTGGCTGACGAATCTCAATGTTACTGTTGTGCTTCACTTGTGGTTATTTTTCCAGTCCTGGTTGTGATCACCTAGCAACAGAATGTACGTGCAGAGACTGCAACTTGACTTGGGAGTTTCCGTGCTTGATAATATGGCCTCTGGCTTTTTGGGGGATCTCATGCTCTTTCACTGCCAATATCAGGTTGTTCTGGCTTAGGATTGGTGGACTGAGAGAGTATTATTCAGATGCTCTAAATATAAACTGAGGTTTGTATTGCACTGAAGCTCTGTTAATAATTAAAGCTTTCTGAGGAAAAAAAGGGAATATTATTTCATTATTTGGTTGGCAGGATAAACTTGAAGGAGAGATTTGGGTTTATGTTTTGTAGCTTACTCATTCTTTTATGAACAGCTTAAGGTTTTTGCGGTCAGCTTTGTAAACATGCCTTAGAATTTCTAAATAGTTTATTAGTTATTTTTTTATATTCCCCATGCATTAGCTGGTCTTTCTTATATTTAGATTGTCTGCCTGTATTGGAGCTTAGTTTTATTATTATTTATTTATTTTACAATACAGTTGCATTTACTCAATGCATGATGTGATTTGTTATGTTCCTGCAGACTGATTGTGTGGTTGTTTTTGCTTTTATGCATGCATAATGATGGATTCCTTGTTGGTTTGTTGTTCATTGTTTATTTCTGTTTGTTTGGTTTGGCTATACATATTTTATGGATAATGTTTTGTGTGTTTATGTGAGTTCATGTGAGCAGCTGCTTAATGTTATTTTTAGAAAAAAAATGAACTTTTGTTATAATGCATTGCCTTCAAGTTGTGGTCTAAGTACATTTTCCAAAGATGTGTTTCTTTAAATTAAAATGTAGCATCATTCCAAAATAAGTGAATTTGAGAAACATATAATAGAAAATGTGAATTATCTATTAGCCACTAAGTCACTGTAAATAAGTGATGCGTGTGCGTATGTATATATTAAAAGTCAGAAAAGCTTTGCACTATAATTGTAGCGTGCTGTTACATGCGTTTTGTTCCAGCACAACCACTCTGCATATCTCAGACTGCTGAGTGCCACACTCAAAAGTAAAAACAGTCTGATGAAATATTGTTGGATTACAATTTGCAGGCAATAATGATTGCCACCAATGGCAACGATAGCTGTTAACTGGGTGCTCTTTTGTGGGTGTTTGTGCTGGGTGGGCGAAAGTGTGTGTGTGTGTGTGTGTGTGTGTGTGTGTGTGTGTGTGTGTGTGTTTAAGTGTTTGTTTGTGTGCCAGCCATCTAAAGTCCTTGGCCCTCAGCTGTACCTTAATTGATCCAGAGCCTCTGTTAGCACCTTCTCCATTGAACTTTGCTCATTTGCTGTTAACCAACTTGTTGCTGGCCAAAGCCTGAAGAGGCGTTTGAGATCTTAGACATTACAAATTCAGAAGCACGTGGCATGCTGGTCACCACCCCCCAAGCCCCAGAAAAGTCTTAGATTAAATTGAATGACTGGAGGTTTTGGAGGTCCTTGGAGTTGTTTATTGCCCGGAGGTGCTGTCCAGTCCTGTGTTCTCTGGAGAGCAATGGGGAAGAGGGAACAACGTGCCTTCAAACAGTAGCAGTGACATTCATCCTGGACAAAAAAGAAATAAGCAATGTTTAAAGCGTCACACGGATGACTTGCATATTATGCAGCCTTAAGGGTGCAGGTTGCGGAGCTCCTCCTTGGCACATCTGAGATTTGGATTCTTTTTGTTCATTTAGCGGGAAGCGGATAGTAGTGCTGTGGGTGACTGGGGAGGGGAGTCAGTAAAAAAGTTGTAGTTTTAACAGTAATAATTGGATTATTTTTCTCTCTCTTCTCCCTTTGGCCCTTAACCAGGGAAGAAGATTTCAAATTGAATTGGAATTGATTGATCAATTGTGGAAATGAATGTGAAACTAAGATTGGAACTGACTTCAGGTGAATTTGTGTTATAAATTGGATTGGATAACAACAATGTAATCTGTTATGCCTCAGCACTGTGTTTTTTTTTTTTGTTTTGTTTCCACCATGGCCGCTTTGTCTGCAGTATGAGTGGATTGATTTTATATGAAATGAGCAGGTATTCTTGTTCAGGCTGATAACAGATATCATTGTACCATTTGCCTGTCATAAGCGCATTTTTCTAATAATGAGCAATTATGCTTTCCGACCCTTGTAGTATTGTAGTCTGTGACAGTGTCATACCCCGATATTACCAGCTAAATTTTCTGATGGGCAGCGATTAAAATAGAGCTGTTTGACTTTGTTCACAGACAGAGGAGAGAGGGTTTGCGTCAGGGAGAGTATCGATTTTAAGATTTGTTTGTGAGCCCTCTCGAGTTTTATGACCTGCACGCATCTCTTGGGTGATGCCTGGGCAAGCCAGCATGACCAACAGCGTGAGGAACGTCTAAATGCTCCACTTCGTGGAAGCCACTGGCGAAAAAGCCCTCATTGACATCCTCACTTCAGGCCCTGTACAGTGACCCAGGGCAAGGAGTTGTTGTAATCCTAATAATTATACTAATAACAGTAACAATAATAACTTATTATTACTACTTAATAAAAACATGCAGTAAAATTATTATTATTATTACTCCTACAGAATTAATTTCAGCATCCATACTTATGAGCGTTTTAAGAATGATGAGTCTTGCAGACGCACTTCATCATCCACATCCCCCAGCTATGTTGCCAGCCTTCGGTCCTCGAAGTGCAAATTTACACTGCTTACCAGGTACTGGAAGCAGCGTGAGATGAATTGCGATAACTTGAACCATGCGTCCAGACATGCAATGTCTGTGGTTTATAGTGCTGAGCTCAAAGCAAGTACAGACGCTCCTCTACTTACGAATGAGTTACGTTCCGAACGGCCGTTCACGACTTGAAATGTTCGTAAGTCGTTATTCAACATCATTTTAAGG